ACGAAATCATTTATGAACATATTTGATGAAAGAAAACATAACTTTTATACTACATTTTGTTCTGAATCTAATGGTATTAATTTAAAGATGCGAATTTAATATTAAATTTTATATTAAGAAAATAAAGTTTTAATGTGTTTATGGTATAACGCATTTGTTATACAAAAACAGTTTAGATTAAATTAATTCATGAACATATTGATTGAATGAAAACTTAATTTCAAAACTACTTTATGTCCTGAATCTAATGGTATTAATTTAAAGATGTGAATTTAATATTAAATTTATATTAAGAAAATAAAGTTTTAATGTGTTTATGTATACGCATTTGTTATACAAAAAACTTTTTAGATTAAATTAAGTCATTTATGAACATATTGATTGAATGACTTAATTTCAAACTACTTTATGTCCTGAATCTAATGTATTAATTTAAAAGATGTGATTTAATATTGAATTTATATTAAGAAAATAATATTTTAATTTGTATATGCTAAATGTAATGTGTTGATACAAAATTATTTTTGATTAAACTATTATTTATGAACATATAAAATGAATGAAACATAATTTTACTATTTTTGGTCCACAATCTAATGGTATTATTGAAAAAGATTTGAATTCAATATTAAATTTTATATTAAAAATTTTAATGTATATCCTATATGTAAATGTTCTACATAAATGATTTTATTTATTTGTTCTGAATCTAATGTATAAATTAAATGATGTGAATTCATTTGAATTTTATATTAAGAAAATAAATTGTAAGCTATTTATGGTATACATTTGTTATACAAAAATCATTTTTAAATTAAACTAAGTCATTTATGAACATATTGAATGAATGAATACCAAATGTTGAAACTATTTTTCCTTAATCTTATTGTATTAATTGAAAAGATTGTGAATTCAATTTGGTTTTATATTTAAATTTAAAATGTTTATATATTAATGGTATATGTTTATGTCATACGAAAAATGATTTTTGTTTAAACTGAATCTTAAATGAACATTGTGTAAATACTGCTTAAAATTACATTTAGTTAATAGTTAATCGAAGTCAATGCGACGATCACTTCTCTATATGTTTTGATACATGGAATCCTCTGGTCCCACAGAATATCAATATGCCTGATGAATATTATGTTTACTTCTTGAAAACATGCAGACAATAAGTTGTTTTTTTCGACAATAGATTTTCTAATGGGCTAATATTCTTATAGGCACTTACTATATTAACTCAGGCGGATTATGTGTTATTTTGATATTTGTAACCTAAGTATTCGGTCATTTACCTCTGCTATGACAATGAGTATCAACTATAGGTAACAGTGATTAATTACAATTTCAATTTTGTATTTGTTTGTAATTTTTATCAGGTTACCATAATTAAATATAATTTGATTCTTATAGCAATTATTTTAGTAGTGGAATCATTACTGGCTGTTTATAAACATTTGATAATTTGATTCTGTATAGTTGCTATGATTATGTTATAAATTATTGATTTGTTGGTTATTGAAAGGATTTTTAATTTGATGGATATTAAAATAAGTAATTTATTCTTAATGATCTTGACCAATCTTATAGTTTAAATTTCAGATTGATTAAAAATTAAATTTCACATGTAAATTGAAAATTTTTATAAATAAACTTTAAAGTGAGAACAAAAACATTATAGTTTAGTTTAATTTGAATCTCATATAAACACATTGGATATAACAGAACATGATTTTAATTAAAATATTATTCTGAATTCAATGGTAAAGTTTGGATGTTGTGAATTTAAAAGTGATCTTTTTCATAAACAAAACAAATTTGAGTTTCTTTATCCGCTATAATTATGTTTTAAAGTAGTGATTTATTAGTTTATTTAAACTTAAAGTATTTAATTAATTGATGGGTATTAAAGTTAGTAGTTTATTAAATGATTTATGATCAATTTAGTAATAAAATTTTAAATCAATTAAAATAAATTGAAAATTTTTATTTTATAAATAAACTAAAAGCAACTTTGAAATAATGATTTTTAAGTTAAACTAAAATTGAAATGAATATATTGGACATAAAAGAACATGAATTTTAATTTACATTTTATTCTGAATCTATTGGTAATGATTAGGCTAGATTTCAATGATCTAAAACCTAAAAATGACCTTATAAAACTAAAAATGACTCAATAAGAAAAATGACCTCATAAAATGATCAAAAAAAATATAATTATTTTAATAAATTAATAAATAATAATTATTTTATAAGTATACAAATAAATTTATCTTCTGGTATAATGGCTAATATCATCGTATAATGAATAGATATTGGCACGTTAAATTTAATAATAAATTGATGAAGATAACATGTAATCTAACATTATTATCGAATTGCTCTGTTAATCTAACAAGTATATTTTATATTATACATATAAACGATTGGTATTTTGAAGTATTAAATATTTTTAGAAAATATGTTTATGATTTTATTTAATATTGTATCTTTGTATTTTGTACAATATTATAACATCATCAATCCAATATTTAAAATTTAAAAATTAAAATTAAAAATTTAATGAAAATATAACTCAGATTTCAATAAAGTATAAAAAAATGACCGTAAAATTGAAAAAATGGCCCTAAATTCAAAAAAGTACAAAAAATGCAAAATATGCAAAATAAAAACTATATATTTGAAGTCGTAGATGAACAAATCACATTTTGTGCTTGAAAAGCTATATCCTGTTAATCCTATAAAAAAATGCTAAATCCTATACTATCCTAGCTATCCTAGCCCTGGTAATGATTTAAAAGTTGTGAATTCAGAACTGACTGTTTTATTAACATTAAAAAATTTCAATTTTGTATATTGCCCATGATTTTGATATAAAATAATGATTTTCAGTTTATCAAATGTATAATATTATTAGATGTATGTAAAGTGGAGTCATTTCATTCATTTATAATTAACAATCCATGACCAATCTAATGCCTTAAGTTTCAAATTAATTTAAAGAAAAAAAAAATGTATTTTAATGTAAAATATATTTTTGTTGTATTAATTTAAATGGTGTTTATATAAATAATAATAATACTTACAATTATTGATGTATTTATGTGCATACATTTTTAACATTCAACTATACCATTCATCAGTCCTTTAAGATTTTTTATCAACTGTTTGCTTAAAGTTTTCCATGTATTTTGAATACTTATTCATTGTTTAGAAAATTATGTGTTGCCTACTGCACTGCCAGCTAGAATAAAAAAGTTAATTAATTTAGGTCAATAAATTACAGCAAAATGGCCACTATTAGACATACTATTAATATAAATTGTTTAAAAAAGATTAATAAGATTCAGTTGTGTTGTGTATTCTATTGCCACTTTAAAATTAGTATACAGTTTTTATTTTTTATTCATTTAATTTTGTAACAAATGTCTATTAAATATTATGAATTAATTATTTACTCACATTAATGCAGAGTAAATTGTAGTTGTTTTTCTTTGAACACTATACTGCAACATATTTGTATGGTTTTTGATTTTAATGTTTAGTGAGGAATATTGCAATTCTTTTTATAAACGGTATGACTTTAACACATATGTCTTTTTTTGACTGCTGCATAATATACACCTTTTTGTGTTCCACATTTTATAATTACTTGGTTTATTTTAGTTTTTGAGACTGCTAAATCTCACTACAAAATTTACAAGGAATATAAAATTTCTTTTGTGGCTTTAACATTGAATCCAAACTCTAACTGCTAAAACACATCACTCATCAGTCATCACCAATGTTACATCTTATAACTTTTACAGAATACAGATTTTCATGTATTAAGTAAATTTGCAAGGAGTTAATGAAAACAATTAGCAAACGATAAACTGTTAGCTGAGTAACGAGAAGCTCACTGTTTAGTGTTAATTGATTTATATGAAATTTCGTTCATCACTACATCGCTAAAAGCATCTGAAAAGAGAATTGTATTGTAATTATTTATTTTAAATTTGTTATATAATTTATTATCAGGTGTACTATATAGTAGGAGTAATAGACCATTGAAAAAGTGGTCGGTGATAAGAGCAAACAGTTTGGATTCTGTGATAACAGTTTTAACATAAAATTATCGTCCAAAACGAATTTCAGCAAACTGTTTGGTTTTGATAAATCTGTGAAACTCACAGATATATACAATTATTATACATGTCTGTAGTGAAACCGTGTTAATTATTTAATTTATTTTGTTACTTGTTATTACTGTTATTAGACATTATATTTTGTTTTCAAATTATTTATTTATATTATTATGAATATTGATTAGATGACTGGTATCTAAATATTTTTGTTTTTATTGATAAGGCGGTGGCGTAAAACGAAGTAAACCTTGTTTACATTTCGATTGTGTTTTGGTTCTTTAAAAGAAATGTGCTATTACTGTTTTACTTGTTATATCTTATTTATTTTGTATAAATATCATAGAAAATATTACTCCATGTTTCATACAATAGTGTTTTATTCTATCGCCGTATTTTAGTGTCGCTAATGTTGATAATAGTGAGTCTTGTTTAGTATACATGTTATTTCATAACACGTAATGTAACGATATTTTCTCAAATTGGTTTAATGATTAAGATTTTAAATAGCTATTGCAAACTGTTCAAAAATTCATTAGTACGATTAACAAGTTTTATATTGTACTCAAACAGTGGCGTGTTCAGTACCAAATAATTGGGTTGGCCCGTTTTATTCTGTAATCCGTTCAGAACTATGTACAAAGAGAAGATTTGTCCTAGTATATTATGGGACATAGGTAGCAAATTTTCGGATTTCCAAATTTGGCTGTTATCTTTTTTGTAACGTGTTTTATTATTTTATTTTAAAAATATTAAAAAAGCAAATAATTTTTAACAATATTGATTGATTACTAGGGATAACATAATACTACAAAAAATAATATCAGTCTTTATTCTTTAAAAAATTTTGAGAAAAAACAACTTAAAAATAACAAAATAATATTAATTTGTAGAGTAAAGGATATTGGTCTATTTTTTGTTTACACAAACAGTTACTAGGATAGTTTATTAATGGATTACTTAATTCTTTTTAAATTAATAAAATTGCAGTTTTATGAAGACGTTCAATGATCATTGCTGATCTCAAAAATTATGTTTTAATCCCACATGTTGCTGAAAAACTTCTTTCTGCTGATACACTTGATACATGAAACCAGAATTATATTTATTATAATTTTTGTTTATTTCAATGAATACTGGTTCTAAATTTGTAAGTTATTTATGGCATCCGAAATATCAGCAGCTAACAGCTTAATTCATCATAGTTTTTACTAATTTTGACTATGACTTGCATCGTGAATATTTTTACATCGTAGCGAGACGACATTAAATGTCGTCCATCGATGACAAATTTTGTCATTTGACAGTGGACAAATCTTCCAATCTATCAGCTGATAGTGATCTGTAATAGTATTACTGTCATAAATGTGTAAACAATAATTTCTAATATTATTATGATAGATATTATTACTGATTAAAGCTTATAGATAATATTATCTATACGTATCTTTAATCTGATATTTTTATGTTAATTCACAATAATATTCAATAATACATTTTAAGTTTTAACAAAGGTACGAGGCATATTCGAAAAGTAAGGACTAAGGGTCGTTCACTTATATTTCAAAATCTATAAGTCTTAGTTTGTTTATATTTGTGTATAGTACGTGCACTACTCGTGCAGTTATTTCAGGTGTTGTTTTGATTCAGTAGTAATTTGCCTATCGGTTTGTACAATAAACAATGTCCGTGATAATCTTTGCCCTTGCTAGTTGTGAAGTTCGCGCTGTTATAAGATGTTTGTATGCAAAAGGATCCTCAGATGCTGAAATTCATAGAGAGTTATGCTTAGTTTATGGATCTATTGTAATGAGTAAAGGAAAAATTAGATAGTGGTGTCGTGATTTCAAAAATAGACAAACAAATGTTCATGATGAAGAATGGAGTGATAGGCTTAATAATTAGTATGCAAACCAATGACATTGTTTCTTTGGTGAATCAAAAACTGTGATCTGATTGTCGATTGATGATTAGTGCCCTGGCTGATGGATTTCCTCACTTTAGACACACTGATTGTCTACACAATTGTCACAGAAAAACTTGAATACCACAAATTGTGTGTAAGGTTCTAATCTTCCTTAATAACAATGCATGTCTTCATACCGCAGCCAAGACCCAAGAGAAAATTCAAGATTTTCATTAGGAACTTTTTGACCACAGTTCGTACAGTCCCAACCTTGCACCCAGTAACTACTTTCTTTTCTTAAATTTCAAAAAATAGCTTGGTGGATTGAAGAATGCCGTTGAAAACTGGTTCAACTTCCAGGTGGTCAGCTTTTATACAGATGGGTTAAGGAACTTAGTGCATTGTTACAAATAAATAATAATGCTTAGAAGTGAACAGTAATTATGTGGAAAAATGAAGTAGATTTCTAGGAAACTAAATGTGCTGATAAAACCTATTTCATATTATTATAATTTTTTTTATGACAAAACGGCCCTTACTTTTCAAATATGCCTTGTATTTTTTATTATAAATTGTGATAAAAAGAACCAAATGATCAAAAACAATTTGGTAGGCCTGGCCTACCCTGACTAGCCTGTAACACGCCACTTTACTTAATTCCTTTAACTCTGTATCAGCTTTCCACCATTTCTAAACTATAATATCTTTGATCATAAACTAAGGTAAGGATACTAGATAGAGTTTTTTTTTTTTTTTTTATTATTTAATAGCTTTTAGTATAACTATTACAGCTCAACAATTATTTGTAGATAGAGTTATAGCCTATATAAATTAGTGTGCATCACTTGTGTTATGTGAAATACATCTAATATAATATCAAAAGTAAGTGTACTTTCTTTATAGTATGTACATTTTTTTATTTTAGCTATATTTTTCTGCAATGACCATTGTGATTTATGACTGATTATTTGTTTATATATGATTTACTTGATATGTAAACATTTTCAAATTAAATAATGACAATATTTTCTATGATTTAGCTTTTAGTAGTGATGCCAATGAAGAAAAAGAATAAATGTAGTTTTGAGTATTAAAATGTTTAATATTGAATAATAAGAAACTATCTAATTCAGAATTTTTACCTTTACAGATAAAATAATATTATAACATTCATAAATAATAATTGACATTTTCTTAGATCACATGCACTAAATGTTATCATCCAAAAAATATGAATAATTAATTATTATATTTCAATAATCCAAGTGTATTATTTACACACAAAAACAGACATTTTATGGTGAGTATGAGAGTATAACAATAAATTAATTTGTGATTAATAATATTATATGATTTAAATGTTTTTAGGTATTATGGATAACATTTACAAATATGATAGGGAACGGTTATTTTTTCATGAACTTCTAAAAGATATCCAGGAAGATATTCATTTTTTAAATGATTTTCCAGGCAAAGTTTACATAACTTTAACGGAACATTTAAAAAATGTGAATGGTAGAGTACCTGATCCATTTAAACCAGAAGAACTTATTAAGATGGAAGAATGCATAAAAAATGCAGTAAAAGACCTGACCGACCTTGATCTTAACACTTATCTTTGTACTGGAGTTGTTGTTCTATCAGAATATTTAGATTCCCCAGAGGATTTGTTTTATTATATCGGAAAATCAAAGAAACACATGTAATCTGTTCTTCATGCCTTATTAAAAATTGATTTAAAATCACTATTTATAATCATTATATTTATCTTTATCATGTGTAATTTAAAATAATTAGTAGTTCCTATTTAAAAGATTTGTTTGTTATTAACGAATCAGTTAATACAAATGGCATGGAAAAAAGTAGAATGTTTAAAATGAAGTTCATTACTTAATTTTTTATTTGAGTCAATAGTAATATTAATAATAAAAAGTACAAAGTAATAATAATGATTAACTAAATATTAAACAACTAATGTTACCTAAATTTGTTTATAGTATAGTTATGCTTAAAGAATATTTACAAAAATAGATTTTATTAACAATTTACAAACAGTAGTTAATATAATAAATAAATACAAACACACTTATAGCCTGGAAAAGAAATAAATACATTTTTTTGAATAAAAAATGAAACTTTTAATTTAAACTTATACTTATTTAATAACAAATTGGAAAATTCTATTTTTTATGGAATATTTAAATTTTAATATTTACAGTATAATTGATAAAAACTTATCAATATTTTTAAGCTTATAAATTTCTAAACTTGTTCAATTGTGATATTATTTTATTTATTATTGTAATATTGTACTTTACGAACAAACCTTATAAATTAGATCAGGGGTCACCAATTAATATTTTCCGCGGGCCACATAAGGAATTTGGAAAATTCTCGCGGGCCATAAAAATTCAAAGTACATAATAATTATTATAATATGCCGGTTGGTCAAAAATACTTTATTTCTAAAAAAAATATATACATTTATTAATTATTATGTAACTAAAACTAATGAAAATATAATTAAATTTAATAAATATATGAAACAATTATTAATTAATATTTTTAATGAGAAAAATGGCAGATCTTGCTTTCAACTAGCTGCTTTAAGTCGGGTTTATGGTTTGTGGTAGCTATCTTCATCATCATTTCAAGGTGTTCGTTGGTGAGTCGGGATCGGAATTTGTTTTTGATATAATTCATTTTTGAAAAAGCAGACTCACAGACGTATGTGGAGCCAAACATTGTACACATTTTCACTGTCAATAATTTCAACGTCGGGTATTTCTTTTCAGATACATATTTCAACCAAAATTCATCATATGTAGAATCAATTTCAGTTTTTGAATACTTTTCATTAAACAAATTTTTTAGGACATCATCTGATTGAAATTCAATTATTTCCATTTGAAGATGTGCTCTGTTGCATTTGAAAACATTTTCTGCTTCGTTAATCCATTCACCATCAGGCTGCAGAGTAAAACTACTGTTCAATAGTTGTACAACGTTTTTGATTTTTCCGAAATCAGCAAAGCGTCTTTCGAATTCAGTTTTTAAACTTTTCAAAAACTTCGTAAAATTTGTCATGTCAATCTCGAGATTTCCATCAACAACTTTTTTCAAGTTAGGAAAATGTAAACGTTCATTACCAACATCTTGTAAAAAAAAGTCAATTTTTCTACAAAAACAATTTACCTCAGAAACTAAATGGCAAATTAGTTTCTGATTACCTTGAAGTTTCAAGTTGAACGAATTTATGTGTTGAAATATATCTGTCAAAAACGCAATAGTTGCTATGTTACTATTATCACTGATAAATTCGTGATAGTCTTTGGCAGACAAATGTGTACTCTGAATTAAAAATAGTTCAATTTCATTCAGTAAGTTAAAAAACCTTTGCAAAACATTTCCTTTGCTCAGCCATCTCACATTATTATGAAGTAATAAATCGTCGAACTGAGTATCATTTTCTTGAAGAAGTGCCTTAAATAGTCTGTGCTGGAGTGAAGATTTTGCACGTATAAAATTAACAATACTCATTACTGTTATCATAATTTTTTCCAAACACGGATCCAGTTTGCAGCAAAGGAAGCTTTGATGAATGATACAATGGTACGATAAAAGATCAAAGTTGCATTTAGGGTCATTTCTTAATCTTTGAACAAAACCTTGATGAGCGCCAATCATCGCTGGTGCACCATCGGTTGTAACAGAGATAATTTTTTTCAAATTTAAATTTTCTGTTTCAAAATACAATAATACGGCATTGTACAAATCATTTCCTTTGCTGGTCCCTGATAACGGCAAAAGTGTCAATAACTCTTCGTAAAATGTCCCACTGATATTGCTCAAGTATCTCACGTGAATTATTAGCTGAGATGTATCTGTGATATCACAAGATTCATCCAAGGCTATAGAATAAAAATCAACAGTAGATAGATCTTGTTTCAACTGATTGTGATTATCTTTGGCCAATACTTCAATATTTCTCGTGTTAGTGGATGCTGATATTGGGATATGACGAAAAGTTTCGACAATTTCCTTTTTATTTTCAAACAGTATATTTAGAGATTGAAGCATACATTCTTTAACAATATCAGCATCTGTAAATGGCTTCATATGTTTACCGAGTATCCACGAAATTTGTAGAGATGCCTGTGCACATTTCTGTTGTTCAGTCATTGCATGGCTCAAAATTTGAGTTGCCGATTTATATTTCATTTTTAAATTTTCAATTTTTGTTTTACGAAGGCCAGTACCCAATGGGAATTTTTCGGCAAATGACTTGTGTGTCTCATAATAACGTTTGGTATTAAACACTTTCATAACAGCCACTGTTTGATTACAAATCAAACAAACAGGTAAGGCACCTACTCTATCTGGTAAAATAAAACAATATAAGTCCATCCATTCAGGACAAAACTGTCTATTTTCATTTTCTACTTTTCTTCTTTTTCTATCCATAGTCAAGTTAAAACAAAGAATAATATATTATTTAATTACGAAAATTAATAAACAAAACAGAACGGACGAACAAAAATTACGTCGCAGCGGACACCACCGTCTCACCGATAACTGACGGACTGACGTGTTGTACGTATATTAATATGTGTGACTTAACGAGTTGTCAACTTGTCGTAATGAAATTTCATATAAATAATAAAACAGATAAGATAAGATATGCTTCACAGCTAGTATAATATTTGTTGCAGCTGAAAAAACCTTATAATGCAGTAGTAATGTACAAAGATAAGAAATTACCTGCAACATTTATTATTACAACAGTCGCGCTTTATAATAAGTACGTATTAAATGATTGGATTTTTCACTCAGTCTGCGGGCCGGTTAAAATGCATTCGCGGGCCGGATGCGGCCCGCGGGCCGCCATTTGGTGACCCCTGAATTAGATTATAATGATGTAATTGCTTAAGAAATTGCTGATAAATATTCTACATTTGATACTGTTTTAGAAAAAATGTAGTGCTTATATATGTATAAATATGAATATATGTACTAATTTATTTATCATATATCAATATTATATTATTGTACCATTTAGGTTGGAATTTAAAAATTAATGAAAAAAGAGGAATCAAGTTAATTTAATATTGTAAATTTATGATTGAATGATGAATGAATCATCATTTTTTTTTATTAAATTACTAATATATTTACAGGTATTACAATGTTACTTTTATACAAAAAAAAAAAAAAAAAAATTAAAAATTGAAAAGTAAAAATAAATAAATATATTTACAAAAATATGATGGTGATTGGTCAATGATTATGTTTATCATAATATAATCATTTTCATTACCGCATGATGTTTTAGTCTGTTATAAGGATCAATAATTATGGAAAGTGGACAAGCCTAGATTAACATAATTTTGGGTTTGTAACCAAACATTATTAGAGGCCCTTAAACATACCTAATCAAAATTATGTTCTACAAATAAATATATTTTTAAGATAAAAAAAAAATATATATGTTTGATATTTTTTTTAAATGCTAAAATAAAAATATTATATAAATATTTTTTTCTCCTAAATATCACTCCGAACTCAAAACTTTAAAATTATTTAGATTTTTTTGAAAAGTGCTCGTTTTATACGAGCTAGTTTTGAGAAAGCTCTTTTAGTTGAACAATTTACTATGGGTATAGTTATATATTTTTTAATTGCAGTGTACAAATTAAGAAAAGAGAGTAATAGATTTTTTTCATTGAAATGCTTCTAAATATCTAGAATATACATTTTAGTTTATAAATTTGATTGCTAAAATTTACTTGAAACTTTCAAGTTGAAAGTATGAATCGATTTTTTCAGCAACCTCTTCGAGAATTGATGTTCCTTGGGAATCAGTTATATAAATTTCTCAATGTTTGTTTAGGCATTTCAATGAATAGATTTTGTTCTATACCTTAGATTTGTTAGTTTTGGTATTAATGCTTATTATAAATTCTTTCCATGAGTAATTTTTACCTTTTTATAATTTATACTAAATTTGTTTGGCTTATGAGTAATAAGTAGTAACTAGGTAGATATATGCTTTATTATCAAAATTAGTCTTATAGTTATAACTTATATTTATAATACCTAGTTCTCAGTAGTTTGTGGTTAGTAATAATTAAGACCAGGAACTTGACCTAAAAATCTTTAAAAATGGACTCAAAAAAAAGTATCGAAATTACTTATAAATATTAAAAAATTACCCTAAAAATATCAGAAATAACATAACATTTTCAAAAATTACGTTTTTAATAATAAATCATCAAAAAATCATTGTTTTTAAATTAATATTTTTTAATCATGAATTTATTATTTCATTCTTCTGAATTTAAACAATGCTAATATTTTTATACATTAAATATGCTTTTTTTTGCAGATTACAGGGTACAATTAAATTTAAAACGGAAATAAGAAATAATGTCGCAGTAATACAAAATAATTTTAAAAAAGAAATCGATATTTTTAGAAAAATAATTGAAGGATTGGGCTGTACAATACGTTAGTTTTTTCAAATATTTAGTTTTGTCAAAATAATATAAAAAAAAGAGTAAAAAATGAAAAAAATGCATCAAAATTAGTAAAAAATGGTCGCATAACTAATAATTATCGAAAAATTCAAAATTAAAACGTTCTATTAAGTTTTACATTACATTAGTCACATTTTTGTAAAGACAAGCTTCGTTTAAACGCATTAAAAAAAAAATGGAAATACATGAAGTTCCAGGCCTTAGTAATGTTTCAATCATTATAAATCCGTAATCGATGATATTCACCGTATTTAACGTATCGCCGTTCAGGTATTCCAATAAATCTCATTTCCTTACCATATCATCTTGGTAAAAATAGACGATATTGTTGATATTATGATAGTATAATAATAATAATAATAGGTAATAACATATTCATATATGTTATAGTTTATAGAGAAATGTTAATGTATTTAACTCGAATATTTTTGATTTAATAAAAAAAAAAGTACTACCTAACTGCCAGGGATTCGCTATTTTTGATATCCGTGGCCTCTTAAAGTGGGTAATTTAGAAATTTGTAATAACGTGTAAATAAATGGAAAGGGGTATAATATTAAAAATTACAAGCGAGGAGGTCAAAACAGGGTCTTAAATGGAGCTAGACCTAGAATAGTAGTGCCTGGATCTGAGAGATACTTGAATACTTCTCAACAATTATAAGTGCTGGAAAATATAATTCTTTGCCAGCTGATTGAATTATTATAATAATGTTATTTTGATCAAGAACACCGTAATATAAATTTAATATATAAACTATAATAATATAGAGTATATATTATGATCATGCGCCTTACCAGATTTCCAGAAATGTATATATTATTACGCTTGTTAGAAAAAGTAAGGTGGAACAAATAAAAAACTCTCTGAATACGTGAATAAAAGTAAATAAATAAATAACACTGGTTTAGCTCGTTGTAAAGTGTAAAATCCAGTTTTTGCTTATAGAATCCGGTGTTGAGAGGTGTTACTCGAATAACTGGTACCTACCTATACGTGTGCACTGATTAAAAATACGACATGTTGAAGCCGGCCAGAGTGGCTCAAAGGCTTCTGTATTTTCAAGGACCTAGCCTTCTTCTTAGTGGTAGAAACATTTATTCGGTCATGTTCAGTCTCTGTCAGCACACAAGTAAGTCACACGTCTTGATGCGTCTCATTGTTATCAACACGTGTCAATTTCTACGTGACCTTTACAATGCTAGTCGTCCCTTTCATCAGTAATGAAAGAGTTATACTAGAATTCTAGAACTAACCGTTATCAGTGCGCGACAACTTGACCGTTATTTATTCATTATCTTTAAGCTGTAAAATGATGTTAACTTATCATTATAAGTTATAAAGATTTTGTCAGCTATATTAAAAAAGTATCTATAGGTACTTGAAATATTAAACTGTGAAAAATAAAAACTATTAAAGGTGAACCATTTGTTCTAATTAATGATAGAGTAGTTGGTAGGTAAATAATATAAAATATAACCATTTTTTATATTGAACTATATTAAAGTTACCTATAGTTTTAACTTATAAGTACATTTAAATGTGCCTTAGACAAAATTACTTACTGTCATTTACTAAGCATGGTAGCCGGTAGCTAGTTGGTATGTTAAATGATAATTTTATCTCCTATTGGTTTTTTTTTCACTTAATGAATATAACTTATGGTAGGTATTAAGTATTAACAAGTTTCATGAAAATATATTTAAATTTTGATCCTAAAGATAATGTATGTTGGTTTTGAATCTTCCACCCACAAAGTAGTTATCATAGTTTAATCATTAATAAAAGTACAAGAAAGTCGTTTTCATTTAAAACATTCATGGTGATCAAAAATCTAAGAATATGGATCAGATCTCAAAAATAAATCGTATGAAGTATAGGAACATTTTTCAGATTATTTTTTTCTAAAATATCAATAAGGTTGAGAAATCATATAGGTAAGTACTAACGAGTTATTAGTTTCTATTAGCCCTTAAATTAACAACCAAGAAAATGTAGACAGGTAACCTACTGATTACTTAATTGACTAACTATATTGATTCTAATTTATATTTTCATCACCGAAATGTGGGTAGAAATAAACGTTAGTGAAAGTTTTCAAAATTAAATTTTTTTTTTCTACAATAATATCTAAATATTTATCAATGTATAAAATTAAAAATACTTACTATAAAACGATATCAAAGTGATACATAATACATACATAGAAAATAAATTCAAAATTAAATTTCTTTACTACGCAATACATGCGCTATTTAAAAATTCAAGAATTTATTATTATATAAATAAATAATTTAAAAAATAAAATTATATACCTTTTACGATATTTTACAATTATTTCACATACAACCTATTCATTTCCAAATAAATAATTGTTTACTTATAAACTAAGTTTAATAATTATATATTATTATAAAGGTAATATTATAGATAATTTTGATGAGCCGTTCTTTATTATTATATATTTGTTTACTAACCTTTGTCAGAAAAATATATTTTAGATTTTGAGCGAAAATGTATTGATTTTACTTTGATAAGTGGTCGATAAAATTCTTTTATTTTTAAAAATGTGGGTGGTATTGAGTATTGAATTGAATTAACTTTGTACTCTAGAGAAGTTAAACTTAGAAGTCTCTGTACTTAATTTTATATACGGGAAAAATAAACAAAAAACAGAAAAACGGATATTTTTACGCAAATCCAATTTGTTACAAAATCGATTTTTTGTTTTTGATGTAATTCAAAAACATATAAGTCAATATGCTTGAAATTTTCACCAAATATTTATATTATCATTTTTATTATACAATCTATTTTTCAATTTTTCACGATTTTTTTCTAATTATCGATCAAAAATTATTCGGTTGGCTAAAATTCTTGAAAATTTAATAATCTGTTTAAAAATATTAAAAATACGTAGGTAGGTAC